CAATTCTTTTTAACCCATGATGAAGCTTTCAATTTAATATATGGTCTAAAGTCATTTCTCCAGTTACGCAAGATGCAAAGATTCGATTAGCAATGTTTTACACTGAAGAACACTTGTAGGTAATGTACAAGTGGCTCATTAGTTTCCGGACTCGGTTCGCGCATACATATGTATGAAAAATGCAACACGTTCCACCTTCACTACTTTCCACGTGCCGCTGCTAGTTCGTTATTTTGCATGTGCGCGTGCGAAGTGGGTCCGGAATCTCTTGAGTCATTTACGTCTATAAACACGTACAATACATGCGGAGAGCAGCACGTGGATCGGACGTGTTCGAATTAGCGCGAACTGTCGACCTATTCGTGCATACGATTAGCGTCTGCGTTGACTGTACAAAATTATAACTATATACGCATATGTAGATATAACTTCTAGTTACATAGATATACAGAGAAGTATACACCATAGGTACGTAATCGTTAATCGAGTACTCGGTAGACTGCGAATCGCCGTCGTGGACTCGAATATAATGAAACAGTTTAAATGGAACAGAGACAACCCTTGTAGAAAATAACAGCCCATTCATACGATTTTTGTACGAAATAAGTTATACGATTGAAAATAATGTATAATGGTTTTGTTTTTTTCTCTTAGCAGAAAGGGATTGACAAGGATCGTCTCTGTTTAATGTTTCGTCTATTTTAGAAATCGGATTTCCTCCTACATAACAAGGGCCGATTTTCTGTGATAATGATAATATAGGCGATTCAAGGGATCCGGACCGAGTTCACACGCATACGTAGAAAACGTGGCACGTTCTCTTTCTCTACTTTTAATGCTTTCTACGCGTCGCCTCTAGTTGGATTTACGTATTTACGATGTCGGAATCCGTTGAATCATTTGTACAGAATATTCGAGCCCCGCTTCCGAGAACCATTTCGACTTTTACACAACGTTATAATTTGACACAAACATATAGTACTCTTATATGTATACATATGTACGTACGTTCTTTTCTCTTGACATTAAGATTAAAAGGACAACAACGATAATGGTTAATATTATTATTACGACAGTATGTATAGGACAAGCAATAATTCCATTTAAATACAATAGGTACTCGACGCGAGAATACAATCTTCTTTATATCTGTAGTCATTTCATATTTCCCTTTTCTTATCTTATTATTCAGTGGTGCTGCTTATAAAGAAACATAGAAAACAATCCGCCCGTATCGACGGGTCCGTCAGGAACGTAATTTCAGTATCGTTTGGAACTAACAACCATTAACTATAGGAATCGATTCAAGGTACTGTGTTTCAAAAGTTCTCGTCAAGTACAATCTCTATCACCTCTATGAACAGAAACTGTTGAATAGGAAATTTGTTTTCGCCTTAGTATATGCAATCTTTATCCTTCTTTTCTCTTGGCTTGGTTCTCGAGTCATTTACGCGGATTTTACTGGACGACACTATGTACGTACAAAACTAGGACAGTTTTTTTTAGTAGTTGAGTCATGCAACAGATAGACTGCGAATATTTGTGCAAAATAAAAGTTTTGTTATATCAGTAAGAGAATGAGAACTAGATTGAGATTTCTTCAATGATAACCATTTATATTATACGTTTTTTCTGCATACTTTCACACATTATATGTATCATTTGTATTATCGCATAAAATCCACAGTCTAGTAACATAATATCCATCGAACAGAATCGACAAGGATATCATGCTTACCTTTAGTTCTTGGCACACTACTCTCTCGTAAACGTCCTAGAGATTTAATTAAACAAATAATACGCGGATAATAAGGAACATCATTGGTGACATTATTATAGTACCATGGTGTCATCAATCAACTGTTGTCGATTAACATGATTGATACTGACGAAATGAAAGGAACAGCTTTTATCTCAGATCTCCCTATTAATAATCTGCATTGGTGACGTATGAAACATTGACTGCGTTTGTCTAACTAATTGTCATTCTCAAATAGTGTTAATCCAACAAACTGTACATATCTACGTATAGACTGCTTAGAACTGTAACCAATACTTTCATCAATAATTATAAATAATGATTTCTTTAATTGCAGTGTTCAAAGAATAAGTAACAACTTCTAACTAAGAGTGACTGTAATGCTGAAATTGGTGAGCGTTTCCTCATAAAATATTTCATTTCTTTTTCCTATTTCTTTCTAAATTGTGCTATCAATAAATTGTTCTTTTCAACATAATGTTCATCCTCTATTCAATTGTAAATAAGTAAATTTTCTTTGCTAATGTTGTAACTTGACTCAGTGTATGTTGGCGACAAAAGTCGCGCGAAATCTCGTATCGGTCTCGAATGGGAACAGTTGGTCCTTCGTCCGCAGACGATTATCAATAGACTGCAGATTTTGTGAGCTGATATTGAAATCTATCTCCTTTACTTTCTTTATAGGTTTAAATATTAGAGTACATTATCTTGATTTTAATATTCTCGATACTTTTCCACATTATATGTAACGTTTATCCAATTCATCGAATTTTATTTAATTTTACGCGCGTGTATAAAATTCACTGTCTGTTTATCAGTAAGTAAAATTCGGAATATTTTCTGAATCGAGTGCACCTAAACGGTACGCTCGTGTGTCGTGAAAAAGCTATACCTAACTGTTCTTTTAATTTCTCGAATAAGTTCTCTACATCGCTTTACTCTATTGAGGGTGGGACTCTATATACAATACACCTGGGATTCGGGGTAGTTTTTGCTTTTTGCCGGGGTACGAGGTCGAGGCTTGCTGTCCTCTGTCGCAGTGCTTGTGTCGAGCAACGTCTGAATTAATTAATAACCGAATTGAAAAGTGAACGAATAAAAAAACAGTGAAACATACAACATAACGTGTAACAGAAAGAATATATTTGTATTTTAGTAGAATACATGCATTGATGGATTATAGTTTGCAATATAAATTTTGTTCATCTTTAGTAGTATTTCTGTAGTGTTTCTAAAAAGAACAATGATTTGATTGCATTCAATTCGAAAAGGTGTATGTAACATAGAACGTATATAGTGAGTATACAGACACATATTTGAAATTAAGGAAATAACTTGTTCCTTAGAGTATTTGACTGAGATTATAAGATTTGATAAAGATAAATTTACTGGACAAACAATATCATATTGGATATTGTGAATTCGATCCGCGTTACAGTTTTATGGTTTTTAAATGAGGTAGAAAGATTGCGACGAGAGATTGCAGCGGTTCGGTGAAACGAGTTCGAGAAATGTCTTGTAACACGTGTAAAGGAGGGGTGAGGAACGTGGCGCGGTTTCAAAGAGGGGGAGACGATGGTAAGTGGGCTGGAAAATGCTCGTCGAAAGCTTGGAACATGAACGAGTGAAAAGCGCGGGCCGAGGACCTTCGGGAAAGAATGTGGCGAAAGTGTAACACAGCGGGATGAGTCTCTGTTTCTAAACGAAATTTTCACTTTCGAGGCAAGAAGAATACCATTAACGCCTAAAATCATAATCGTAAAATTATAACCGTTTTCGTGATTTAAGCTCGTTTTCATTAAAAAATGAGTTCATTTCTAAAAATGATTTTGAGTTAATCTTGCAGACATTAAATAACTGATTTTGAGAATGTCAAAGCAGTTAATTGTCCTTTAAGATACAATTTTTAAGCTTAAATCCAAAAGCCTTTCAAAACTGATTACAGAAATATAATCATTAGGTCAGCAAAGAAATCTAAGATGAAGCCTATAATGGTATTCAGTGGAAGGAAACTGTAAGCTCCAAACTATAACTAATATAAAAATACAAAAAGAACTAAAAATTTATCGAACTCTCAAAAACCTAATTACAAGTATTTGACAAGGACTATAATTGTATCAGTTATATCGATATTGTTAAAAGCTCCCGAGATTTGATCGCGTCCGAAGGAACAGACAACAGGCGTGTAAGAAATTGTTCTGGGCAACAGCCGGGCCGTTCTCTGGTTCCCTTCCTTGCGAAACGATCGTACGAACCGAATGGAGGCGAAACGAGGGCAATTTGGGATCTCAAACGATATTTGCACAAAATGCAGACGGAAGGCCTCCCTCTTCCTTTTGTGGCCGCCGTCGGAAACCCAGAGGCGAATCGTGTTGTATTTCGCAACGCGTCTTTCCGTCGGGCCAGCCAAGTCAGTCATTGGACCCGGAAGAGGGAGCTGAATGACCCGTTACTCGCTCTCGGACACTGTCCCAGGACTGACCCATGGAACAATCGGCAGCAAGAGATGGGCTCCACGATGAAATTTGCATGCCGGGCATAAATCAGAGGACCATTGAGTAACTCGTAGAAAGCCGCGACGGATGGAGGGATGACCACCGGCTGTGAATTTTCGCCACCAGCCGACGAGTCGTGTATCGTTGCGAAAACTGGTTCGCAAAAGATTTTTAGGACAAAAGATTTTTGGGTTCCTTTGCCTCTGGAGCCGGCTGTCACGTTAAGAAAAAATAAAGGGAAATCGGAGAAGAAGAAGATGGCCCCGATTGTGCGCAGTCCTTCTCGAAAGATTCGTCAAGGATTTCTATTTAAAGCCATAGGGTATTGATAATCATTGTATAAACGGGTGCGAATTGAGATCGCGACCAGGTATCAGTTTACAATGTTAGTTTTTTTTGCGAAGGTCGAATGCAAATGAACTAGCTGGGTTCTCGGCCCTAACTGTGAAAATTTCAAAGTATTCTTACGCAATTTGTTTTTAGAAACTGCAGATGTGTGTTGTAAGGAAGTGTAAAACTAGGATTGTGTGATTTTTTGGACAAGACTTCTATTTTGGTGTTTGTAACTGAACTTAGATTCTTTGACACTTACCTGTTTTATTTGAATGAAGTAATTTCATTCGAATGGCACACAGAACAGGTAAACAATTGATAGTGTCGGAAAGCGTGTTTCGAGTTCAATCTTGTGTATATACATGTATTCCAACAAGACTTATTCGCACTTAATAAAGATAACAATTGCTACAGATTGTGTATATAATTTTCATAAATAAAAAACTAAGGAAAGTAGAAATCAAAGTAGAAAGCTCACCAAATTGGTGATGAAAAGAGAAGGAAGTATACGAAAAGAAGAGAACAAACAGAAAAATGTTGTATCGACAGTCTGACGAACGGCGTAAGCGAGAGAGCGACAGAGGATCGACGAACCGATGTCACTCCTCCCCGCTACTTTTACTGTCAGAGGAACTTGTATACCAATACATTCATCCCGTAGCTACTAGACTTTATTTTTCGATTCCCGTTGAGTTCATTCACGCATTCTCCAATACATACACCCATGTAAACACCAAAAAAAAAAACCATCCATATACCAGCGAGCTACCACTCTCGCTGGGCTCTCAGGCGTCCTTTTTCGTTATCCGTACCTATCTAGAGTAATTAATACCTATCTAAACTAATCATCACGGTTCTCACTCAACGAAACTCGTGGAACTATAGCGACTACCTAAATACACAATATTTTCTTTTGTTCATCTTCCATTTTTTTGGAACTATTTACACGAAAACGCCAATTCACCCGTCAGAGGAACTTCGGATCGAGCCTCTTTCCATGGTAATATATATATATATGAGGACCGCCAGAGAGAAATCATTTTTATCTTAACAGAGCTAGAATAGTAGATTTCTTTCTGGTCTCTCATATATCCATATATATTATGATATTAAGTCTAGTACATATTATTTAATATATGTATCTCAGATTGTTCAGGCTTCTTCATATTCACGAATTATATTATATGTAAATATGTATGTGCATATATACATATAATATTAATTTTTTTCGACAACAAAGATCAAGTCCCTGAATATTTCTTTTTTGTTCTTTCACTACTGTTGCTTTTTGTTAAATTTCACGTTTCACACGTAAATCAGCTTTCGGCCTCGTCTAGCAGCGTATTTTCTACCATAATTAATAATCATCTATAATAATATAATATATATTTATAAAAAGCATCTTAACAATAGTGACTGTGAACCGATGCACGGAGGATTCAATGTGAGAATTCAATACGAGTCGCGGAATGCCAACAAATTCCTCCTACCCGCACGACGCTCCCTATTCTTTTCGCTTCTAATTCTCTACAATTTTTCCGAATTCAAGTTTTGAAGGAAAAAATTTTATGTCATCTGGTATCCTGGTGGTCGACTTTTATGTAGCTGTATCTACGTACCCGTGGAGACTCCACTAGGATGCATGGCCGACAGCTGGGTTCCCAAGGGACGGGAATGGATGCGTGTACTTGCGGTGGTTTTGAAGAAACACGCTATTTGGACTGCAGGCCTCGTCAAGATCTTCATCGTCGTCCTCGTGGACGGTATCACTGCTCGGACTGCGACTCAACGGCGAGCCACTGCTGCTGTTCGACTGCGGCCTATGCATGCCGGTGGACATCGACAGGTCTTCAGGTTCAGTTTGCTCAGGCTCCATACTCATCGGGATACCGGACAGGTTCAATGGAATCGACAGGGATGCGCTGACCACAGGACTCAGCAACTGACTGACGTGAGCTGCTCTCATCCCAATCGCGGTGGTGTTCGTCTTTTGTTTGCCGATCAACGTAGTCGTCTCGGAGTCATCGATCTCTACATCGACGTCGATGTCGATGTCCTCGTCGAGATCGTCGCTCGCCAACGACGGCGAAGTAACCTGGGAACGGGGTGTCTGGCCGGAAGCGTTAACACTGCTGCCACACTTGTGATGCATCAGATGGTGCCTCCGCCTGAATCGCATTTGACAGTGCTCACACTCGAACGGTTTCTCACCCTTGTGGATCAGCAGGTGAGCCTTCAGCTGATTCGAGTCGCTGAACTTCGCGGCGCAGAGCTCGCACGCGTACGGCCGTTCGCCGGTGTGTACCCGCAAATGCCGACGGAGATTTGCAACTTGCACGAATTGACGGTCGCAGTGGCTACAGTGATATGGTTTTTCCCCCGTGTGCAGTCGCATGTGAGTTTTTAAATGATGATCCCGAGTAAATCTAGAACAAATTTTGCATTCAATGCACGGTATATTAAATTGTCTATTACTTTTTTACATGTGATAGATTTTAAAAAGTATTATTTATTTAAATGAATCTGAATTCTGTTTATTTCTCCATTTTCGCAATTTCGTCGTAGCGCAGTTCATTGACAAATTTCAAATGATAGAATACGATCATACTAAGACAGAAAAGTTTCTGAACCCACCTTTTATGGCATTCCGGACACTCGAACGGCTTCTCCCCCGTGTGCGTACGTTCGTGGTTCTGCAACACGTGCTTGTACCCGAACGATCTGGAGCATACTGTACAGATGAACACTTTGTCCTTGCTGTCCTTGCCCGCCTCGGGACTAACCGACGAGGGAGGACTCAGAGGCGCAGATCCCTCGAGCGATGTTTGTATGCTCTCGGCTTTGATCTTCTGCGTTTTCCTCTTGTTCGTTTGTCCCCTCCTCGTGATTCGTTCACCGTTGCTGCTGACCATGTTATTGTTATTGTTATTATTGTTGTTGTTTGTGTTACTCGCTCTCCGAGACGAAGACTTCGTGCTCAGTACGGGTGACACGGGTCCGGGTGAGTGATGAATCGGTGACGGGGGCGACGATGCTGTCTGTGGAGCCCAGCTATTGAACATCGTCTGATGGTGTCTATAAAACGATGGACTGGCCGCCAAGGTAGCGTGTAACGAGACGGGAAGTCTCGCAGCCATCAGTGCAGCCGTTCTGCTCGCCGCAATTAACTGCTGTGGTGTGAGCATAGACAAACCCGGCGTGCCCGGGTACATCACTTGCGACGTGTTGTTATTCAGTGGCGGCGACAGCGGTTGTTTCTCGGATTCCTGTTTCATGTCTAATTGCCCGCTTATGAGTCCTACAACATAAAAATATGATTCTAAATTTATATCTCGATGATTGATGTAGAATTTAGATATGTAGGAACATGATTCTTAATGATGATAATCTTAAGACAAAGGAAAATGAATTTACTAATGCAATACGAATCATTTATATTTCATCCTTTATTGTATTATACGATAGAATAGACAATAGATTTTTCAAACAGTTTCTTTTACTGGATGCAATTGTTTATCTGATGAGCTTAGAATTTCAATACGAATAATCGAAGATATTTCAGTTGCACGATTCAACATTTGAAGTTATACATTTCGTTGGGAATTTCGTTGAATAGACTAAAGCGCATAAATTCGGTCTAACGAACGGTCTGGCGTCCCACAACAAGTCGTGTCGCGTGGCAACGAGAGACGCGCGTACTCGCAAAAAGGACGAGCTGTTGGTTACGTGTGCGGGCTGCGGAATCGTACACGACGGCGATTTCTTTTCTCCCGCGCGCCTCTTTCCCTCCTCGTTCGACCTCCCACACACGTTGCTCGCACGTGAGCGCGAACCTCGGTCCTCCTCCATTCACTCACACTCCCGTACGACGCGCGAGCTCATTCACAAGCCTCGACTTCCCACCCACGTCATCGCGGTGTACCCGCCTCTCGTCGACTCGAGGCCAACGACTCGACGAAAGTGTAAGCAAGCAGACACCGAGGACCACGCGGTCCTTCGCAAAATCCGAGATTCCTGATTACCATACAGTTTGCTTGGGGAAATACAATTTGAAAAGCGTTATATGGATGGAATGAGGAAAATGGATAGAGAAAATGCATATGTATACATTATAGTCAACTAATATTGCATAGCATAATATGTGAAATTAACGAAGGTAATTATTTAAAGAATCCTAATTTCAAAGAATTACCAGAATTCCTTTTTATTCTTGAGTTTAATTTGGAAGATTGATTTCCTGGAGGGTACCAATTTTCCCGAAGGTTCAATTGGCTCGTACTTTTTGTTCGTTCCATTTTTGGACGGAGAAGAAAATGTTACTGGAGAACAATTTTAACTCTCACGAAAAAGAGCAACCCTCGTATTAGGGTTACACCTTCCGATGATTGCTTATCCGCGTGATCGACGAGGCTCGCCGAGGTAATTGAATTAATAAGAGGCTCGCTTACGAAATTACTCGACTAAAGGCGGACTGATTACTAGACCGATTCCACGATACACTTAAGGACCAAGACTAGTTCCTAAACGTGTCACTCGCTATTTTTATTCGATGGAAATAGTTAGAATAATTGCAATTGAAGAGAAATGGCTTTTATCTATCTCTCCTTACCAAAAGTAAAATCAAATATTCATGACGTATTTAACGTTTATTCAGTGAATTTCAAGTTTTTAAGAGGAAATATTCATCACATTACACAACTGTTATGAATATTANGGGTTACACCTTCCGATGATTGCTTATCCGCGTGATCGACGAGGCTCGCCGAGGTAATTGAATTAATAAGAGGCTCGCTTACGAAATTACTCGACTAAAGGCGGACTGATTACTAGACCGATTCCACGATACACTTAAGGACCAAGACTAGTTCCTAAACGTGTCACTCGCTATTTTTATTCGATGGAAATAGTTAGAATAATTGCAATTGAAGAGAAATGGCTTTTATCTATCTCTCCTTACCAAAAGTAAAATCAAATATTCATGACGTATTTAACGTTTATTCAGTGAATTTCAAGTTTTTAAGAGGAAATATTCATCATATTACACAACTGTTATGAATATTACTTCTAATTAAAATACAAAAGAACAACTTTTAACTAAATTGTCGAACTATGAACTTCCTATTTCTGTTATCTCTCTTGAATTATACTTATTGTTACAATTCTATGTGTAAGAAGTAACCGAGGTTTAATTTAAGAAAACAATGAATCAAGCAGCCATGTTCGGTGCCGCCACTTGCTAATTAATGGACCGTTCCAAAAGAGGGGCCGTAATGAGACCCGTTGAATCAATAAGGGTGCGTAAGATCTATTCTCCTTTTCTTCTCTACCCTAAAACTCCCTTAACGCGGCTTAAGATTCTTGCAGCCTATGAATCGTCGTTTCCCAGCAACACGGTCTGAAGTACCGCCCCCGCTCGCATCCCTTCTCTAATTGGTCCCAACCCCAATATTCCGTTTCGTACCTGAGTCTTTTCCCCTTAAGGTCAGAATAAAAATTTTTTCGCCGCGAAACTCTAATCCGATAACGAATGGGTTTTAAGTAAAAGACAAAGAAATCAATGAAAAATGTACGAAATTGTATTCTTACAGTGATATTACAAAATATCATATCGGAAAGGAATTGGTATTATAATTCCATGTACATTCTAGTTCAACTATGCTTTAGAATCATAATATTATACCGAGTACATAAATTACCAGCAATTCATCTTGAAGGCAAGTTCAATCAGGCAAATCTGAAATCTGGAATTTATACAACTTTCCTACAGAAGCTACAAAAATAGTTGTACTTAATATTCTGTATTAACATCTAAACACAACATGAGACGATTGCTGAATGCATAGATGTAGTGGAATTAAAATTGGATTGCTTGTACTTAATTCAGAAATACTTGGAGTTAAGCGATTAAACGAACTGTAGATGGATACGTACATATACGTAGGATTTGTTTATATCTGCTAAACGCATTCGCGTAGTTCGCGGCCGACGACGTCACCGCGTTTCGCGCTTTCAGAACGCTGCAATCGTACGGCTATTTTTGGTCGACGACGATTGCGATCGCGGAACCCGTGCTCGTTTTTCACGAACCTGACTCTTCTATCTCTCTCTCGTTCTAACCATTTTGTAGCTCATCGAGTGAAATTTCGCGTCTTCCTGGCTTATCACGATGTTTACAATGTGTCACAACGCGAGCGTGTCGCTGTGAGGCACTTTTAGAACATTGGCTTCGGTCCAGTGCTAACGTGTCCCCTAAACTGCGAAAATCTATCCGCGTTCCGTTTCCCGTCCGAATGTTCGATAAATAAAGGATGTTTGGTTAAACGGATATGAAGCGAAGTTGAGATTGAGGCAAGTGGGATCAGCTTGCCCACGCTTGAAACAAATACAAAACGAGAGTGAACGTTGCGAACTTCAAACTACCATTTACTCGATGGAAATTCGATTGATGATCGCAACGGTTCCGATCCGAAAAGAGAAGAAACAAGATCGTACCTCCGTTGATTTGGGCCTCTTGAAGATAAGACAGTGCCATTCTACGATCCGTGATGCGTGTTTTCACTATGACACTCCATCCACTTCTGTGCACAATGCGATCACTTCCGAGGAAAGCAGGAAACCAATGATTAGATTTACGGGTTTAAGCGTGTATGTTTTAAACAGACAGCGGCACTGCACTAAGAGGGTGGTCGATACACGTTCCCAGTGTAAACTCTTCTCCGCGAACTCGATTCTAATGGTAAGAACCACGTATCGGACACGGCCTTCTACTTTCGCGCGATGAAACGCCTCCGTTCTTCCGTGCGTGTTCTTCTCCGTCGACGACTCGAGTCACACTGACCCGCGTGTACTGCGGAACCGGGCAACCGAACGTCAAATGAACAGGGAAGGGGAAAAAAAGGAGAGGAAAAACGAAAATCTGAGGAAAACAAGGTACGTGAAAAACTTGTTACTACTCTACTATAAACAACAAACGTCGTCGTCCGACCACGAGCAACGAAAACAAGTAACGACGACGTTACTCTGGGCTGACCTAACCCAATACTAACTAACAATCGAGTCGCGCTGCTCGCTGTAGTCAAACATCCCCCACCTATCCTGCTCTCGCTCCCCACTACTCAAACTTCATCCCTACTCGCGACGAGCTTCTTTACCCTCTCGAATCGCGACCCTAGATGCGCGAGTCGCAGAAACGTGCCGTGTGCCGCTACCGCTGCGTCGGGGGATGAAGCAGACGTTGGACGAAGATAGACAGACTGGAAGAATCGAGCGAAAAATGGGGGAGAGAGAGGGACAGAGTGAGAGAGGGGGAAGGTGAAAGGAACTCTTAGGCGCACAGGGTGAACCTGCGACCGTGATCTTTAAGGGTGGGGAGCGTAGAGGAGACCGTATAGTTCTGTGTCGCGTCACGGGACGAGAACGGGCACGGAAGGCGGGTAATCTGTGAAACCTGCGTGCGAAGAGACACGGGGTGGACGGTAGGCGACCTAGATAAGGGTGGAAGGCTGAAGGAAAGGATATTTCCGCGGCTGTAAACCGAACAAACGAACTCGCTGTGTCGCGTCCTCGTTCACCCTTTCAGATCGCGCGAAACAAGAACGATAAAAACACGCCGAGTGGGTGTAAAAGGGGATTGTTACGAAAACCGATCCTTTTTTCGCGCGACAGTCATTCTCTTAATGTATACTCCTTTTCTCTTTGTTGTCGCGAACAGGAGATGGTCGTGAAAAGAGATTTGCGAGAGAGAAAACTGTCTTGCTTATCTTCGGAGAAATGTATTTATTAAGCGTGTACTATCGTCTGCTTCCGAGGAGCTAACGTTCAATGTTTTTTTAGTTATTTTTTAATTCGTACAGGCACTAGTTTCGGTATCGATTAATCACCATATGTTGTCATTGTATGCGACAGCGCATCTCTCAATTGTAACTCGGCATACGAGTGTATTCCGAATACCACGAGAAAAAGAGTAAAATAGAAAAGGGAACAACAATTTTCCCGAAACCGAGTTAGGCAAATTAAATTTACAAACATGGTTCCTATCCATCAGTTAGTATCGACGAAAAAAGTCGAAAAAAATATCTCCTGTCGTCGGACGGTCGGTCGAAAAAAGCTCTCGTTATTCGGTCTCGGAAGCAAAAAAAACGCGTTCACGGTTCCTCGACGCGCTTTCCACGTTACGTGTCTCTTTCAAACAATCGGAATGAAACGCAGTGCGGCTGCAACAACGCAATTTACGCAGGCTGCACCGACGCCGCGGTGGCGATATCGAAGGACCGTTTTGTCGGTCGCGACTTTCGCGATAACTCGCGAGGAGTACAATACTAGAAAGGGCATGAAGCTTCCACTGTTTTTTCCAGGACAGGAAAAAAGAGAACTATGTCGAAATACACCCCTCCTAACCTCGTAACCCCCGGGGTTGCTTTTTTCTCTCGTGTTCGCCTCTCGGGGGTGAAGAGACACACTCGTGCGTGCACGCGTTTCGGCTCGCGCTTTCCTTCTCTCACCTGCCCGCGTCCGGGCGTGCGCAGCGCGTGCCCGTAGCCAAAAACTTACCGTCGCTCGTCGCACACGCTCGTGCGCGATAAAAAACCTGAAGAATGCCCCCCTTCGCCGTGCCGGTACGGGCGTACTATATGCGTGTCACGTGTGAACGTGTTGGTGTATATACGGCTACACACATGCTGGCGAGAGTAGGCTCTTCATTCTGTTCCGTCTCTCCTTCGGATGACAGGGACGGAGATCCGAGATAGTTGGGGATGGAAAAGGAGATGGAAGAGCGGCGCGATTCGATCAAAAGTCGATGAATTAGGGCAGTGATGTGTTCACTCTTTTTATCTTTTCCAATGAATTCTATTATAAACTTTATCATCGATCTAGGTCATAGCAAATATACGTATTCCTAATTGCGTTCAGTAAATTTGGTTCCGTGAAACAATACTTCTGCTATGCTTCTACGTCATTCGCCTACACAACATATTTTTTTGCTTGTCTCTTAACTGTTTTGTAGAACCAATTAATGAAGTCAAATGACATATTAATTCTTTATCAATTCCTCGTTGACAGAATGACGAAGAGTCGGGATGATCTAAAAAGATTGAGTACGTCTCGACAGTACTATAGGGCTGACAAAATATTGTGGAAAAAACGCACAGGTATACATAGGGTCGGCTTTTATATAAATCGCGAGGAAAACTATGGGCTCGATATAAGAAAGGAATGCTCTATACAATACATTCGAGTGCATTGCTCCTGTTACGTACACTTAAATCTGTCAATAATTTCCTACATCACTACTGAACACTTTTCTTATTAGGTTCCACGTTTATACAGTATTACAAAACAGAAATATACAGAATGAAACACGTTTAACGTATTGTCTATAACATATAATTTCTCAATCTGTCTTGTATTAAATACGAGCAAAACACAAGAGGTATTCAATTCGAGCTTCGAATTGATGAATAATTAAAAATACTTGGAATTTTTTATTACATATTTTATACAATATCCTCCATATTATAGAACGCGCAGAGACAGCAGAGGCTGCAAGTAAATGGAGAAAAGATCTCTTGGACAGCTACACAAGTTTAGACAATGATTTGGTCATTATGAAAAGCTGTTTACAGGGACAGGTTATTGGTAATTATTACGATAGTTAACCCTTGGTCGTTCAATGTGAAACCAAGATGTTTCTACCTGCTGTTTAACAACTGTGCGGTCGTTGAGGTTGGTCCAACCCTTTGAAACGCGTTGAGCAAACAATGCAGTTTAGAACACGATATTTTGCTACTTTTATTTTTAACTTCGTAGGCACACGAGTCTTCACACGCTAGACTTAAGCATATTTTATCTATTTTTTGTATAAGTTAACAAATGGCTCGCGTTTTTTATTTGATTCTGTTATTTTACGAAGAAAGAATTCGTCGCCGGGTTACCGCATCGAGGCGCACAATTGTGGGCACAAAAATGATTTTGGGTCGTGCCTTAAAAATTCTGCTTGAAAATAGTCCGGCGACTGACCAATATATCAATGGCAGTAAAACAACCCTACAGTAAATGTTACTGTTCTTAGGACGTGGCACAAACTGTTTCGGAACGTTTTACACTGACCCTGATCTTGTCCGAGGTTTTGGGGGAGCACATTATGTTGGTGAAGCCGAGGAAAAGTCAATTTTCGACAAGAGCTGTACCGGCAATTAAACTTATGAGAATTGCTCTAGATTCTCACTAAAATGCTACAGTAAAAGTGTCAGGCTAGCTCGGACGTTTCAATGTTCAAGGATTTCCTAACCAATGCGCAGGGATAAACAGAATTATTGGGGAGCTGTCCCTCCATTTATAATTTTACAACCCACATTATCAGGTATGAAAATACTGGGGTGTAAAACTTTAAAACATCCGTACCGAAAAAAACGTTCCTTTTTTTGTTTCTATCTTTTTCTATTTTAAATCCTATCTACCTCCCGCTTACCAAACGTTCTGTCCGCGGTTACTTCTTAGTGTGCGTAACGTAAAACTGATAATTACGCTGGGTGACGGTCGAGTAAATTGCTACACCTTTTTCTAGAAAAAAATGTTAGCCTGCAGTAATCAGGTATCGTACTACCGTAAAAATTAAGCGACCTGTGCAGAAGACACATCTAACGACTAAAACGTCATTTTTTCTTACCCTCGTTTATCAACCCAAGTTCTTTTAGTATAGTACGGACTCTTTTTTATGACTCTCAGTAAAATTTTTTCCGTTCGCTAGATACCCGTCGGACCCGTTGTGGAATTAAGCTTCCCGTTTGATTCTAGGTAGATAAAAAAGCATTATAAAGTCTGCTTCGGACCTTTTTAAGAAGATTTTACGTGTTCGAGACTCCTTTATGATTCGCAGTGTGCAATCGCTACTTATCACTGTTGTTTAGAATAAAATATTAATTATCGTTACTCTTTTTTGACGATCGTCCTAGACAAAGCAAGCACGTGCGACTGGATCCCCCAAGTTAAATTCTGCTCAATGTCTTCTAAAAATATTTTCTCTTTTCATCGTAGAAACACGTAAACAAGCTGTTTTTTTATAATCTCGATAATCCAACATATTATATTAAAGTAACATACATTTTCCTTTTAATATTAGACAAAAACATATGAGCTACGTACATACCAAGTTAAACTTTAATAACGATTTTCTTAGAAACCATGAAAAAGAAGTTTTCGAGAAAATGGTAGCAGAATTTTTTGCCACGACGCTTTTTCAGTAGGAACGGGAAATCGTAACGGAAATTCCGGGATACTTATGCGCCGGCCCAATTTATGCAAACCAATCTAGCTTGAAATCTGCCCATTGTCAGCCGTTACCGCTTTACATAGCTACGCGGTGATACAGATTAAATCGATATCTTGATCTGTGGTGCGACGAGCAACCGTTGGTCACGGCCTCGGCACAATGAATCGCACCGAGTCAGAGAAATTTTCGGCTGCGACTCTCGAGTGGACGTTTTTTCTCGATCGGTGACCGTTACGCCAGATAAGAATCGTGGAACTAAGCTTTTCCGTCTATTTTAAATATGCCATCCGGGATAATTGAAACTCGGCTGTCCCGATATTCAAGCGCGATCAGAATCTTCCTCGACGTTCATCTGCTCCAAGAAAAACTTGTTACTGTATTTCACTAAAAGACCTGGCGTGTGTAACGGTTTCTTCCAAGGGACAAATACTTTTTACGTGCGATCGAGAAATCGGGAATAGAATTAAATCTTTATTTCTAATTTTTGCCTGGATTCATTGGAAAATATCAAAATTAAGTATCTGTTTGCTTGGCAAGAAGCATATTTTAACGAAATACTTCCTGGAAAAAATATGTTTCTATGTCACGCAACTCTATCAGCGGTACGTACTCATAGAACAATGACAGCAAACAAAGGAAAATTTAATGATAGATATCACGCAGTTAATATGGAAACAATTCTAAACTCCAAAGAACGACAGATTCACTCGAATAAATATTTGAAAACGGACTAATGGGAGACCATTGTAAACCGA